GATACAATGTTGCGGTCCAGCTGGCTGAAGCCCAGCTGACTGAAAGCCGGTTTCTAGGGTTTTGTTTAGCTTCTATATTTGCAACATAGTTGCTTAGAGTTGCAGCTGAGAGGCCGGCAAGTCAGGCGGGGAACGTTGGAGTTCGCCATCACTGGAGCAAGCAAGCCTCCCTGTTTGCTTCAGTGCATGGCTGCCGGCCGCCATCTTGGCAGACAGTTAATTTGCATAAGGATATGCTGATTAGCCAATGGGAAGGGTAGCGGTCGTACGCTAATTACCATGTTTCTCTTTTATTCGTGTAGATATGCAAGGCCCATGGCCACAGACAATAATGTAGTGAAGATCTGGGGTGTGGTCTGGGTGGAGGGGAGGAAAGGGATGGGAGGATGGAGCACATCTGTAATACTGTCAACAATAAAATAAATAAATAAATAAATAAATAAATAGCCCTAGCTGGTTTGGCTCAGTGGATAGAGTGTCAACTGGCAGACCAAGGGTCCCTGGTTCGATTCTAGTCACAGACATGTACCTCAGTTCCAGGCTCAATCTCTGGGCCCCACTGAGACGCCTGCGGGAGGCAATCAATCGATGCATTTCTCTCACATCAATGTTTCTCTCTCTGTCTCTCCCCTTCCCTTTCACTCTCTCTAAAAAAATCAATGGTAAATATCCTCAGGTGAGGATTAATAAAAAATAAATAAAAAAGTAATATTTATTATTACTTCCTCCAAAAATTGTTTCCTGACTAATCCTATGCTACTCAGTTTACTTTTTTGTTCTAAATCTGCATACAATTCAAGGACTATTTACGTATAGAAAGCTTTGCAAAGGCCTATAAATTCAAAGTGTTAATGTTTCTTCAACAAAATTAGAAACTAAAAGAATAAACAGAGTAGTTCCAATTCTTTCACATAGATAGCCCCAATAGTTAAACAATTTACCCTGAAACATGAAACAAGTTCCAAAGATACTATACTTATTCACCAAGTAATTCAGATGAATCCCCTCCCTCTGTCCCTTCCATTCATCATGCTTGACAGAGCACCAGCTGTGCAAACTCTATTGTCATTCTCCTGCTCAAAAACTGCCCAGGACTACTCAGTGCCTACCAAACTTCTTAGTTTACATTCAAAACACAATTTTTCATACACCCAAACACTGGTCCCAAACACTTCTCATGCCTTTACCTATACTATCCTCTCTATGCCATAATCAGCTCATCCCATCTCCACCTCTACCTGTCATTTATTAGGTCTCTACAGTATGTTGACACTATGAGAGGTCCCGGTAGATAAAGATTTTCTAGTCTGAATATGTGATAAAACTTTAGCTCCCATCCAGTCATAACTGTCATCAACTCAGTCTAGTAGGAAAAGATTGCCTGTGAACAAGTAATTGCAATACCACACTATACAGTAAGTGTATAGTAAGCTGTAAGTTATGGTAAGTAAGCCATACCTGAGGGATGTAAAAAAAAAAAATCAACATACCATGGATGCATGTTAGTTAGAAAGTCTATTTGAGACATCAGGGGTCAAAAAAATGGTAAAGAAAATTTTAATTTGTTCTGGTTTTCAATTATGAAAATTAGTTTGGCCAACTGGATCAAGTTCTGAATGCAGGGCTTTGTTTGCATTAGGTATTTAAAAAATACCTTTTTAATGAAATTAACTTGTAGGGATTTCAGGTCAAAGAGTAAGATGGCCAACTTATGGTGCTTGAGCTGGGAAGGATGCAGAATGGTTGAGATGACAAAGAAGAATGCCTGGACCCTTTTTCCCAGGGCCAGAATCTTCAATCTATATCCTGACTGGCTTTGGCTTCCTAGTTCCAGAGAGGACCTTTTCCTCTCTCATGTTTCCGGATGCCCTCACGTGATCACAATACATTCCCAGTGTTTCCTGGCTCCTCTCCAGTGGTGACCTTGCTGCCACTTACATCTCTCTCCTCTAACACCCACAAAAGTGAGGGACAACAAGAGTCTAACTTCTGATTCCCTTCTCTAATCTAGTACACTCCCTGGGCTGCAGGACAACCTCTCCATACTTCACCTGCCAAGAACAAGTTTCTTTTTTGTAAAATCAGGCATTTCACTCTAACTTTATTTCTTTTTGAGAATAAGTAACGTGTGTGTATTGTACAAAACTCTAGAGAGGCAAAGGAGTATACAGAGAAAAGGGAAGTGAATTAGATCCCCCTCCCCAGAGACATTATCACTTCTGTTTACCATTACTAACATAAGGTGGTTTCTACTATAAACAGAGTAGTTCAGCCATTCTGCTTTAGGGCTTATTTGTTTGGGGACAGGACCTGATTTGTGAACCAGACATTTATGTATAATGTGTCTATGAGAAAACACATCCCGAGTTCTATAGAACAAAATCTTTTCAGATGACTGTGGACACAACTTGGGATACAATATGGTATTGTGAACAGAAAGAACATGGCTTTCAGCTCTTCACCAACCTGTGTCTGCATACCAGTTCTAAAACTAAGCTCCTTAGGAAACATTACTTAACTTGGGCACATACCCGGGTTTCAGGTTTGATCCCAAGTTGTGGCGTGTATCGGAGGCAAAGGCTCAATGTTTCTCTCTCATATTAATGTTTCTCTCTCTCTCTCTTCCTCTCTCTCTAGAATCAATGAAAAAAACATATCCTCGATGAGGACTGAAAAGAAAGTTAAGTTCTTTTTTTTTTAATATATATATTTTTTATTGATTTCAGAGAGGAAAGGAGAGGGAGAGATAGAAACATCAATGGTGAGAGAGAATCACTGATTGGCTGCCTCCTGCACACCCCCTACTGGGGACTGAGCCCGCAACCCGGGCATGTGCCTTTGACTGATGCTCTATCCACTGAGCCAAACCAGCTAGGGCAAGAAAAGTTAAGTTCTTTAGTTTCTTCATGCCTTTAACCCTTTCCAACTTTCTTTGTTTAACTGCATCTGGAATATTTTTATTTTAATGTGTACCAAAATATCTAAAGAAAAAACGAAGTGAAAATACCAAGATTTCGCCCTAGCTGGTTTGGCTCAGTGGACAGAGCACCAGCCTCTGGACTGGAGGGTCCTGGGTTCGATTCCAGTCAAGGGCACATACCTGGGTTGTGGGCTTGGTCCCCAGTAGGGGATGTGCAGGAGGCAGCTGATCAATGATTCTCTCTCATCACTGATGTTTCTATCTCTCTCTCCCTCTCCCTTCCTCTCTGAAATCAATAAAAAAATATTTAAAAAAAAGAAAATACCAAGATTTCTATAAAAGGCTTCCATTCACAGAATTAAAGATTCTCTAACAATTACCTTTTGTTCTTCTCTTTCTGTTGCATAGTGACACTTTTCAATTCTCCAATACCTCAAGAAATCTCGAAGGTATCCAAAGAGGGTAAGTACACCATACCCCACATAAGTAAGCACAGCAACCAGCATTGGTGTTTCTTCAAAAGCTTCGTTAAACGGTCTTTTATACAGTCCTCCATTTTGTGTAACATGATGGACCTGAAAGAGAGATTTAAAATGTTTACTTCAATAACACTAAGAAAGATTTCTACTTAAAAATCTAAGTAGTCTTCACAGATTTGTATAACTATACCTTCGGAATTCCCTAAGTTATAGTTTAAAAAACCCATTAAGATCTAAACAGGGCATCATTATTTTTCAATAGAAGTAAGTTACACATAATTCAGATGAACAGCAAACAAAAAAACAGAGGGAGAGGGACTGCCTAAGAACAATGCCTGACTCTTTTCTCTCGTTATTTGATTTCATGAAATAGATCCTAAAATACTATGGTTGGAGAATACATAATTTCCTTTGTTCTAATAAAGAAAACAAGAAATATCGGGGGGAACACTTTGTAAAGTATGTGATTGTCTAACCACTATACCTGAAACTAATACAAAATAACATTGAATGTAAACCATAATTGAAAAAAATAAAAAAGCACACAGAAATATAAATCAACAGAGAAAGCCTATCCTGAAAAATAGTATATTAGCTAATAAATAAAGTGATCAAAAGTAAATTCAGTTTTAGAATAAAATATTTGTAAATGTTTTACTGCTCTATGTCCTTAAAGCCACTCCATCACAGTATTCCAAACATCAACATTAGGCCCCTGTGAAAACACACACAATGCTTACTTTTGTGAGTGATCCAGCATTGTATAAAAGGAGAAAGTGAAATCCAATGCAAAGCATACAGCAATCAGTAACTGTTATAAAATCATTCTGCCCCTCCATCTAAGTGTTCATTCAAATTCTGCAAGATTATCCCTGGCTTCATACATTCTTTGGGGTACCTGAGATTTAATATACAGATACCAAACCACCATACTTTTGATATCATAACTTAAAGCTTTTTACTTTTTGGTCAATTTTTTTAAAATATATATTTTATTGATTTTTTTACAGAGATGAAGGGAGAGGGATAGAGAGTTAGAAACATCGATGAGAGAGAAACATCGATCATCTGCCTCCTGCACACCCCCTACTGGGGATGTGCCTGCAACCAAGGTACATGCTCTTGACCAGAATCGAATCTGGGACCCTTCAGTCCGCAGGCCAATGCTCTATCCACTGAGCCAAACCAGTTAGAGCCTTTTTGGTCAATTTTAATGGAAATCTTATTTACAGAAAAAATCCACTAGAGCATTTTCTAAAAATTTATTGATTTTGGAAAGAGAGAAAAAACCATTGATTTGTTGTTCTGCTTATTTATGCATTTACTGGTTGCTTCTTGTATGTGACCTGACCAGAGATTGAACCTGCAACCTTGCTGTATCGGAATGAGGCTCTAACCAACTGAGCTACCTGGCCAGGGCCCACTAGAGTATTTTGTGTGTTAATGTTAATCTTACTTGAAACAGCTGAGAGCAGTGAGGACGGGTCAATCAGAATTTACCAGGAGCATTTTTTTTTTAATTAATTTCAGAAGGGGAGGGAGGGGCGGGGGAGGGAGAGGGGTTGCAGAGAGAGAAAGATCAATGATGAGAGAGATTTATTGATCAGCTGCCTCCTGCAACAACCTGGGTATGTGCCCTGACCAAGAATTGAGCCCTGACCTCCTGGTTCATAGGTCGAAGCTCAATCACTGAAGCACACCACCAGGCAGGAGCATATTTTTCAAGTGAGCTCTGAACTAGAGTTATAAAAAGTCCCAAAGGAAGAAAAGATTTTTGCCCTCTCAGGCAACCTGATCAGATATCTGATTGTAAACTAATAAGAACAAATTAATAAAAATTTACAAAACTACAGAAACTAATATATGCATACCCCTGGGCTAAATATGGTTTAGAATATTGTATCCTGATAATGTTAGTTTGAGAAAGTTACTTGAATGCTGCAAGTTAGAACAGTTTGGGAAAAAATAGCTGTATTTGACAAAGAAAAGACATTCAGATAGGCATAATACATGGGATCTATTGGTACTGATTCAATTTGACTGCCCAAAGAACTTATGAAAACTATTCATAAAACTGGTTTAAGTCTTCATCAATCTCTTCTCCAAGAGATTGTGTCAATATTTAATACTTAAACTTTTTATGCAGAAGGTTGTAATATGTTTAGAAGAGAATAGCTAGCAATGAGCCATTATCTGAAGATAGAAAACTATTTAAAAATTAACAATATAACACATAAGCTAATAAGCTAAACAAAACAAAATCAAAAGCAATCAAAACACAAGAAAAATAACATTCTGATCATCTCTTTAAAAAACTACATTTAAAAATATTGTCATACCAGTACCCAACTCTTCTGAACTCTAAAATTGTTTCAACTATTTTCTCTCAATTGAACAAAAAAGTAAAATGTGAGGCAATTTTCAGAGGGCCTAAGTCTAAAATATGTGTGGCAGATTTATATGTCAGGAATGCTGTGGCTATATCTCTTTAAAAGATATCCGCCTGGATTTGAGATACACCCAAACCAGCAGGACCAAGTAAATGTAAACAGATGGTTGCACTGTCTAGGAAGGAGGAAGTTAAACCATTAGTTTGCTTTTAAATACTATGTGATTCTATCGCAGCCCCTTTTAAAATGAAATGCATTTGAAGGAATTGAGATTCAACTCTGAAAGAACTTTTGGAATGTGGCCTCAGTCAAAAACACAGGTCACTCTTCTGCGTCACTGAATCTGCTGCTGATTCCATCTAAGTCGTCTTCATTTCAGTTATTATATCCTTCATTTCTGATTGTTGTTGTTGTTTACGGTTTCTCTCTGTAAGTTCTCTCTGAGTTCATCTACTCTTCCCCTAAGTTCATTGAGCATCCCTATAACCAGTGTTTTGAACTCTGTATCTGGTAGATTGCTAGCTTCCATTTTGGTCACATGCCTATAAGCTACCAACCATACTTTTAAGTCACTGGAAAGACACTCCCAACCAAAGCAATAATGGGGTGCCGTATAATCAAAAGATAAAACCATAAACTTAATATGCACTAAAATCATCTGGAAGGAGATACAAGAAACTGGAATGGGGAGAGGAATGGGGGAAGGAAGCATACTTCCTACTTATAACCCTCTGAACCAATTTACTTTTTATTTCTAACTAAGACTACATATTATTGAATTTTTGTTTATTGTTTTATTTTTTAAATGTTTAAACTAAATTTTCTCACTGATTTTATTCACTATTTGGACTAAAACAGAGTTAATAAAAACAACATACACTTCTCATCCTAACTTTAGGTCAGCTCAGTCTACAGACTCTCTAGCGGTTCTCAACCTGTGGGTCGCGACCCCTTTGGGGGTCAAACGACCCTTTCACAGGGGTCACCTAAGACCATCGGAAAACACATATTTAATTATGTTCAATTTGTAACAATGAAAAAACCTCCTGCATATCAGATATTTACATTACGATTCATAACTAGCAAAATTACAGTTATGAAGTAGCAACGAAAATAATTTTATGGTTGGGGGTCACCACAACATGAGGAACTGTATTAAAGGTCACAGCATTAGGAAGGTTGAGAACCACTGCTCTAGAGAATTCTCATCTACTTGTTAAGATCTCAAAAGGACTTGACATGCTGATAAGTGCAAATCTACATTTCAATCCCCAATCCCCCCGACCCCGCAAAACTCTAAATTTACATTTCCACCTGCCTCCTATCTAGCTCCAATTAGATGTGCCCAAATCAACATCTCACCATCTTAACTCCTCCCTCAATTCAAACCTGACCCTCCTCTCCTCCTATATTACCTACCTAGTCGACAGAATCACCATCCAGTCAACCCAGTCTCCCAAGTTTGGAGTCATCTTTAGCTCCACCTTATCTTCTGGCTTTCACCTAGAACTAGTAATGAATTTTCATGCCTTAATTCAAAATTTTCTTGTGGGGCACCAGGGAATTTTAAAGAGACTGGGAATGTCCTACATCTTGAGGGAGGCATTGGAGACACAGTATACATACAGGTAAAAAATCATGGAGTTGTACAGCTAGCACATTTTATGCACTTAACTAAATGTATGTTACTCCTCAATTTAAAAACAAAACCTCAATACCTCTTTCTTCAGTGAGCTACTGCAATACCCTCCCTGCACTCAATTATCCTTTCAGTCACACTAAACTTCTTGCCACAGTCTTTCCAAAAAGAATCCTCCCCTAAGAGGAGTGAAAATCCTCTAATAGTGATGTCAATGACTAGTGTCCAATACTGAAAAGTCAAGAAGCAGTAATATAAGCATGTTAGATTATGGAGGCAAACTTCAAAAGAATCTGCTAAAATATAAATTAGTTACCTCTTAAGATGAAGAAAATGGTAGAAGAGAGAAGACTGTTGTATATCTGAAAACAAGCCTTGTGGAACTGTCCGATGCTCCATACCAAGTGCTACAGGTAAAGGGTTGCTAGGAATTCTTAGGTCCTACAGCACTGAACCATAGAGCTATTTTGGCTGTGAATGTGTACTATTTTCAAGAAAAGAAAATAATGACTCCAGCCCTGGCCAGTGTTACTCACTGGTTAGAATGTCGACCCATGCACCAAAGGGTCATGGGTTCCATTCCTGGTCAGGGGTCAGGGGCACATACCGGGGTGACTGATTTGATCCCCTGCCCCAGTCGGTACGTAGGGGAGGCAACGGATCACTTTGTCTCTCTCACATCAATGTCTCTCTCTTCCCTCTCCCTCCCTTCCACTCTCTAAAAAAAGTCAATGGTAAAAATATCCTCAGGTAAGGATTAACAACAACAAAACAATGGCTGCAAAGGTGATTCAGAGATAATCTCGTTCTAGGAGGAATTGCCTCAGATTCAACAGTTCAGAGACTCAAGAGTGACAGCCTGGAGCATGGGGGATTGGGAAGGCCAGGGACAACACATGACCTCCATACTCCAATAGGTCCAGAGGGCAGAGCATTGAGCACTAAACCTAAAAGGATTATTCTTGAGCCTTAAGATCTCATGAAATTTACCTTGCTAAATTTTGGACTTGTTGGAAGCTGTGACTCCTTTTTTCTCCTCTAATTTCTCCTTTTTGGAACAAAAATGC